AAAAATGATATGATAATGATAATGATAATGATTATGATAATGGTAACGGTATTGATAATGTTTCTGATGTTTATAATCATGATAGTAATGATAATGGATGTAATACTGATGATTATAATTATTAACTACAACAGCAACAAAATGTCAATGTAAGCAGGTGTGAGATTGATGTTGATGCTAATGGAAAAAATGATGATATAGAGTTTTCTAGTTTGCATTGTTTAAAACACATAAAACACACACACACACACATACACAAACGCACACACACACACACATACACAACAAACACACCACGCACACACACACAACAAACACACACACCACACACACACACACACGCATATATATATACAATATGTGTGTGTGTGTGTATGCGCGTGTGTATTATGTATTGTATTTTCTTCCTTTTCCTTTCTCTCCTCTTTCAATTAAGATGTCTTTTCTCTGTCCACCTACATGCAAAATATTTTGTGCTACAGACTCCTATATGAAATAGACAGATGGGGAGACAAAGGAGGTATTTTTCTAAGCGTCCTTCGCCATAACTTTTCCCGTGTCATGTAACCCTGTGTGTGTTCTGTGAGCAGGTACGTGTGTGTGTGTGTGTGCGTCATACAGGCTATGTGCACCGTATATGTACATCTATGAGTGTTTGTGTATATACATGTGTGTCATAAAGGCTATGTGCACCGTATATGTACATCTATGAGTGTTTGTGTATACATAAACACGTCATACAGGCTATGTGCACCGTATATGTACATCTATGAGTGTTTGGTGTATATACATGTGTGTCATACAGGCTATGTGCACCATATATGTACATCTATGAGTGTTTGTGTATATATAAGTGCGTCATACAAGCTATGTGCACCACATATGTACATCTATGAGTGTTTGTGTATATATACACATAAGGATACACACAGGCATTCCTATTAAAAGGTCCATAGAGATTTGATATACGGGTATTAGCATGAGTATACATTAATACAGTCCATGTTAGACTATGACCTCATAGACCTCATAGATGTATACTCGTAGATCGATAGACAGGCAGACACAGAAATAGATAGATGTACCATTCATATACCGGGATCACCATAGACAGAAAGATCAATAGATGAGGAAATATGGATATAGAAAAATAGACCAGCATATATGCGTGTATACAACGAACGTACACAAGTATGGTCGTCCACATATCTACATGACTCCCGCGGCATGTTGGTCTACATACTCATCATGTTCAGGTGTCTCCTCACTGTATTGTATAAGCTGTCGCCGTTCGTGAGAAAACATCTAAATAACGAATGTTGTGTTGCATTACAGAATGTAAATATGTGGGGTTCCTTGGAATATGAATAGGAACTTATATATCCACATATATGTACATTACACACATACATGCACACACACACACACACACACACACACACACACACACACACACACACACACACACACACACACACACACACACACAACACACACACAACACACACACACACACACACACATACACAACACACACACATACGTACGTAGTCATATAAACACACACATAAATCAAATACAGATAAATATCTTTCAAAATATGAATAGAAAGGAATAGATAGAAAAACAGATATATGAAAAGCTAATACAATGATAAAAAAGATAGGTAGAAGGACAAACATATGGATAGATATAGATAGATAGGACTTGTATATAACGAATCGCAATATAAAGGTACATAGAAGGAATAGATACCGAAGGAAAGGAGATAGACAGATAGAATAGATATAGATAAGATAGGCTTGTATAAAAACGAATCGAATAAGAAAGGTACATAGGAATTTAATATGCCGAAAGAAAGATATAGCGAAAGAAAGATATAAATACCGATAAAATATAGACAGATAGATAGATATAGAGGCTAGTATAAAAACGATAGAATAGAAGGCACATGGAGATAGATACCGAAAAGGATTACAGATAGATATAGATAGGGGCTTGCTATATCAACGAATAGAATATGAAGGTACATAGGAACTAAATAGCGAAAAGAAAGAGATAATAGATAGGGCTGTTAATAAACGAATAGAATCAAAGGCACGTAGAAAGAATATAATAACGAAAAAGATAGCAGATAGGATAGATGGGCTTGTATACAAACGAATAGATAGGAAGGTACATAGGAATAAATAGCGAAGAAAGAGATATAGATAGGGCTGTATAAGACGAATAAATAGAAGAGTAACGGAATAAATAGCGAAAGAAAGAGACTGAGCACACGCAAGATAGTCTTATATATGAGGAGTAGGGGCACACAAGGATGAGTTATATAGAGAGAGATAGAGTAGGAGAGCTCTTGTATATATATATTTGATCAGAAAAGATATAGATAGGGTATACAACGAATAGAAGGAAAGGTACATAGGAATAAACACCGGAAAGAAAGATATAAATAGCGTAAAAATATAACAATAGATAGATATAGATTAGGGCTAGTAGTAGGAACGAAATAGAATATGAAAGGTACAGAGAAAGAATAGATACGGAAAAAGATACATTATATATAGATAGGCTGTATAAAACGAACGAATAGAAAGTACATAGAAAGTAATAGATACCGAAAAAGATACAGATAGATAAGATACGGGCTAGTAAAACGAATAGAAAGTAAAGGCACATAGGAAAAATACCGAAAGAAAGACTATAAATACCGATAAAATATAGACAGACTAGAAGATAGAGATAGGGCTGTATAAAACGAATAGAATAGAAGGTACATAAGAAAGAAATAGAACGGAAAAAAGATATCAGAATAGATATTAGAGGGGCTAGTAATAACTCCCGTGGCGTGCTTCGGTGTGCGAAGCGGACAGAACATCCTCCTCGAAGGAATGCCAAGGACACGGGAAGGGGGGAAAGGAGGTGGGGGGTGAAGAGAAGGAAGGTGGGAGGGGAAGGAGGGAAGAGGTGGGGAGGGAAGGGGAGGAAGGTGGGGAAGGGGAGGAGGGAGGAGAAGGGGGGAAGAGGGAAAGGAGGAGGGAACGGAGGTGGGGGAAGGGGGGAAGGAGTGGGGAGGGAAGGAGGGAAGAAGGTGGGGGGAAGGAAGGTGGGAAGGGGGGAAGGAGGGTGGGAGTGGTGATAGGGGGGAAGGAGAAGAAGGAGGTGGGGGGAAAAGGGGAGGGGGGAAGGGTGGGGGAAAGGGGAAGGAGGTGGGGGGGGGAAGGGGGGAAGGAGGTGGGAAGGGAAGAGGAAGGAGGTGGGAGGGGG